TAACTCTACAAGCCAAAATCCTAACAAGTAGCATGGTCCTAGCTGGACAAGCAGTAGGAAGCTTGCCACAGAGTGCTGTCAATAGCAAGCTTTACAAGACCAGATGAAGAAGACCCTTCGGCCTATCTGATCTTACCAGAACACTTGCCCTACCATCCTCCCATCACAGCTTCGAGTTGTGTTTTACATGTGCCCAGTAACTGTGTCTGAAGCACCCATTCAGCAACCTGTTCCGGTCATTAATTGCCCTTTAAGTAAACAAGTATTTCCTGGTGACTATCTCGGAATTGCTCTTTATAACTCTAAACCTGTCTCCTCTTGTTTTACTGTTTTGATGGTTTGAAAATATTGTTCACCCCCAATCCCTCTGCTCTCCCCTCTGCTAGCCTAACTCAGGCTATGTCCCTAACCTCTGGAACTTCTTCACTCTCTCATCCTCTGTCTTGCCCCCTCTCTTCCTGCCATTAAGTCCCCCCTCAACAAGTCTATGGCCACCTCATAAAAATTAGGCTGATGCTTCATTGCCGGGCTTTGGGAGCACTGGATTTTTAGAGATGTTGTCATCGTTTAAAAAACAGCTTGATGTTGTGATGGGAAGCCGGTCGGGTGGGTGTTCTGGAGGGATGATATCAGATGGGCCAAAGGACCTGCTGCATCTGAACTTATCTTGTGATCTGACATGTACATGTATTTATTATGCAATGATTTATTATTTCCAGTAAATCCCGTGAAGCTCTTTGAGACGTTTCGACGACATGATAAGGAGCTATAACAGACAGAGATTATTATTATGCAACAAAACAAATTGTTGCTCATATTTCCAAAAGACAGAGTCAAATGGAAAACAAACTAAAAGGATTTTTTAAATTTTGCCTCAATACTAATCCCCGAGTCTTAGCTGCTGTGCTGAGACACAGTTGCCAGAAATCTCTTTGCCTCTTTGCTTGTGGAGGCACATCAGTGCATTGGCTCGCTTAATCTCCCACTGTAAATAAATCGTATTACACAAAAGAATGACTTCTCTTCAGAATAAATTCGCAAAAGAACATGGGAAAAGTATTAGCTGAGGATTGGAAGATAGCTCAAAGTGTTGTATGCAGAATAGGCAGCAGCTTGCATAAAAGGTACTTCCAATATGTCATCTGAGCTCTGTGTTACTGACTACAAGCATGTGCTGCTCTCTCCAATATATAAAAAAATTATCCTTACATCTGATAAACCGCCTATCATGTCAGGAAGACGTCTCAAAGAGCTTTACAGGATTTACTGTAAAGTGTAGTGACTGTGTATTTGGGGGCGAATATGACAGCCAATTGCACACAGCAGTGTCCCACGATCAGCCATGAAGTGAATGACCAATTTTATTTGGGGGATGGTTGGCCAGGACATTGGGAGAAAATCCCTTCTCTTTTTGAATAGTGCCATGGGATCTTTAACGTCCACCTGACCTGAACAGACAGACAGGAACCTACAATTCAGCACACCACAAGCACTGCACTGGATTGCCAGTTTAGACCATATGAGTTCCAAATTCTGATGTGGGGCTTGAACCCACAATTTTTTGACTGCAAGACGTGAGTGCTACTGACTGAGGCAGGCTTCACATATACAAAGGCTTCAGAAAAGCCGAGCAAATGTAGATGAGAAGGCTCCAAGAGATTTTACTGAAGCATAACTTAACAACTTGTATTTATACAACACCACGCCAATAAAATACAATGTCTTAAAGAGTTTAAGTTTAACATCTCAAAGCATTCAACGGAATATTATTTTTACAGTGCAGTGTTTGGAGTGCGTTATAGTGAGCCACGATAGTGGGTTTAAGTGTACATACTTACGCCCTCCATGCCACCAAAAGAAAAATGTCCGTCTTCCGGGTCAGTGGTCGCCACAACATCACTTTCTGTTTTCTGCACACGCAGGAAGTGATGTTGGAGGTGACCTGATGTCCCAGACTCGGACATTTTTTTTAAAAAAAGGAGTGTGAATCTAAAATCCGCCTGCAAAGCCCAGCAGAAAATGGCATTGATAGCAACCCGATGACACTTTGACAATTATATGCAATGGTAACCCAGTAAAGTGGTGGTGGCAGATTGTCTCAGCAAATTCAATAGGAAATGTCATGGTGTTTTCTTGTCCATTCCTAGACTACGTCTTGCAGGACTCTGGATTAATATCTCAACTGAAGAATGGCACATCCCCCTATGCTCTGAAGTGTCAACTTGTCACCTGAGCTCAAAGTCCCGACACAGGGCTTGAACCCACTACCTTCTGACTCAGAAGCGAGAATGCTACCGACTGAGCCAGGCTGAGCACTGGATGAGACCTGCTAAGCAGCAGGATGTAGGAAATAGAGTGGTGGGATGAAGCCAGCAGAATGAGAGGCTTTGTGTGGCTGTGGAAGGATCAAGGTGCACGGACAAAAGGTCCTTTTTTCATTTTCTGCCTTATGTACTTGTGAGGCTTTCAAAAATCAATGGAATTTCTACATGCAGCTATTTGTCTCTCAATCACACGAAACAACGTGTTTGCAAGTGAAGACAGCAGCCAACTTGCACAGGGCAATGCCCCACAAACAGCCATGGAGTGAGTAACTAATTTTATTTGGGGGATTTGACCAGGAAACCTGGAGAACTCCCTTATCTTTTTCAAATAGTGCCGTGGGATCTTTAAAGTCCATCTGAACAAGCAGACAGGACCCCGGTTTAACATCTCATCCCAAGGACAGCACCTCTGACAATGGAACACACTCCCCCCAACCCTACCCCAGCACTGGGTTCCAAGTCCTGATGTGGGGAAGATATCCATCGTCATAGGTGCCGTCTTTTGAATGAGATGTTAAACCGAGGTCGTTAAAGGTCCCATGGACACGCAAAGAGAAGTTTCTCCCCGGTGTCCTGGCCAACAATCCCTGAGCTAAAATCGGTCATTCACTTTATGGCTGTTTGTAAGACATTGTTGAGTGCAAATTGGCTGCCGCCTTTGCCAAAATACCAAATACACTCACTACAATTTACAGTAAATCCCGTGAAGCACTTTCAGAAGTCCTCCCAATGTGAATGGCACTGTATCAAATGTAGGGAATAGTCCTTCGGATGAGATGTTCGCCACATTTCTCCCGGTGTCCTAGCCAACAATCCCCTAAATAAAATTGTCCAGTTAATTTATAGCTGTTTGTGGGACATTGCTGTGTGCAATTCTGCTGCCGCATTTCCTACAGATAGTTACTCCATTTCATAGTAATTTCTGTGAAGTGCTTTAAGATGTCCTTCCGACATGATAAGGCACTATACCAAATACAAGGAATAATATTACAGTAAAACTCGCATAAGTTTGATCTGTATAAGTCATATATGTGCCCCGTTCAAGAGTTTATATTCTATGCAAGTTTGACATAACACATACTGATATGACTTCTGTTCGGTTTACTGCATTATTAATAATGATAAATTGGTCACTTCAATCCACGTCTGTTTGTGGGACGCTGCTGTGCGCAATTAGCTGTCGAGTTTCTCCCACAAACTATACAGTCAGCTCACTTTACAGTATATTCTGTGAAGCGCTTTGAGACGTCTCAAAAAGGCGTGATAAGGCGCTATATATCAAATGCAAGGATTATTACTATTATTAGGATCCCTTGCCTTTGCAAGCACCGTACTTCAGTCGGCAAGGAGTTAACAGGAGCAAATCAGTCAGTCCGCCTCTCGGCTTTTGGCCCCAGTTAAAAGGCGCCTTGTTAAAAAAGTGGGCCAAATATTTACAACAGTCTATCATAATAGTTATCATTCTGAGTAGAGGAACATAGGAGAACAGGAGAGTGTAAAACAGAGCTCCCTGTCATATCCTCTCTTCCTGGAGATGCTGGATTTTCCCCACCCCACTTCCCCACAACCCAATCATTTATAAGGTTGGGTCCCAAACCAAATAGCTTTGCAGAGATTGAACTGCAGCCACACTCTGGGGTTTGTAGTGCTCATCCTCTCCCGGTGACTGACCATCTCTCTCTCTCTCTCTCTCTCTCTCCCCCCAGTGTGTGATCTCACCAGTCCTGGGAGGGCATCTGTAAGTGTGAGAGAGAGACTATGCAACAGTGTGTGTTTCTGAGTGGTGGACTGTGTGTGAGAGAGAGACAGAGTGAGACTGTGTGTGTGTGTGAGGGAGAGAGAGAGACACACAGACTACATGTGTGTACATGTGTGGCGGAGACAGACAGACTGCATGAGACACACACACACACACACACACACACAGAGACTGTGCGTGTATATGTGCGTGAGACAGATAGACCGCATGTATGAGTGTGAGAGAGACAGGCAGACACGGACTGTGCGTGAGAGAGGCTGTATGCAAGTCTGTGTGTGTGTGTGTGTGTGAGTGTGTGAGTGAGTGTGTGTGAGAATTTCTGCGAGAGAGAGAGAGACTGTAAGCAACAGCGCGCGTACGAGAGATCGCGTGTGTGTGTGTGTGTGTGCGTATATATAAATACTATAGGCAGAGAGAAGGGGGACAGACACACACACACACACACACAGAGAGAGAGAGAGAGAGAGGAGAGAGAAAGAAGGAGAGGATGTGTGTGTGGTGGTAGTGGTGGTGGTGGAAGAGAGAGAGAGAGAGAGAGAGAGAAAGAGGGAGAGAGAAGTGGACCCCCATCACTAGCGCAGTGACGGGAGGTTTTAACGCAGGGGATGCGCTGATGGCAAGTGCATGGCCGGAGCTGCTGTTGGATGCTCTCTGTCTGTCTGTGTCTGTCTGTCTGTCTCTCTCTGTCTCTGTCTGTCTGTCTGTCTGTCTGCATCTCTCTCTCTCTCTCTCTCTTTAGGGGTCTCCATGGTGATGGCGAGGACGCGCAGGGAGGAGGAGGAGGAGGCGGGGACGAGCCTGTGTGCTGTGTTGAGGAGCAGTAAGTGACGTGACTCGGTCCAGCTGCTGTTATTCTGGTGGTGGGGTTGGGGAGGAGGGGGAGAGGGGGAGAGGGAGGGAGTGGGGGGGGGGGGGGGGGCAACAAAAAAAAAAAGAGAGGGAGAGAGAAGCTGGAACTGTGTGCTTAACCATGACACCTCCTGCCCAGCATGGATGTCCCTGCCTGGCTATGGCCAGCCTGTGTGCAGCACCTTACACCCAAGGTAAGAAAGTGGGGGGAAAGAGGGGATAAGAGAGAGATAGAGAGATAGAGAGAGAGAGAGAGAGAGAGAGAGAGAGAAGGAGAGACAGAAGGGAAGAGCTGATCACAAATCCTCCAATGCTGCTGCTACTAAACTGCACATTGAAAGCGTCAACATCTTCAGATCGTGAACTTACTGTGTGTATTACTTTAAGACTAATGGCTGACTATATTGCCAGCAATTGATGTACTAAAGGGGATTTTTTTTCCCCTTCCTTCTTAACCTCTCCTCCTCCCTCCCTCCCTCCCTCCCTCCCCTTTCCCCACTCTCCATCACTTCCATTCAGTGTTAGCCTGTGATTCTCTCTGTTACTGCTCGTCTTCCCCCAAGACATTGGATGTCAAGTGGTGGTTTCAGATCAAACCCCTTGGAAGGTGCCTACGTGTGTGTGTGTGAGAGAGAGAAGGAGCGGGCGCGCTAGACTGACAGCTAACTGAGGCTTTTGCCAATGGAAGAAATGCGAGATGCACGTAAACAGTGCTAACCATTTCACCAGACTACTTTATCAGAGACTAGGCACCTTCTCATCACTGATGCGTTCTGAAGATCTGTCTGACCCAGCTGTCCTCCGAGATCTTTAAGATGGCTTCTGCGTTAACCCCTTCATGGGGCATTCGGTCCAGTGGCTTTCATGTCGGGTCGACATCCCAAAGTGATTCACGGGATATGCTAAAAAAGTGCAGTGACTGTGTGTTTTACCGGCGAAATGCGGCGGCCAATTTTCACACAGCAGCGTCCCACAAACAGCAATGAAATGAATGACCAATTTTGTTTGGGGGATTGATGGGCAGGACACCAGAAGAGAGAAACTACCTTCTCTTTTCGAATAGTGCCGTGGGACCTTTAACGTCCACCTGAGTTTAACTTCCTATCCGAAAGGCGGCACCTCCAACAACAGCAGCACACCCCCAGCACTGTATTGGTGTGTCAGTTTAGACTAGGATTCCAAATCTCGACGTGGGGCTTAAACTCACGACCTTCTAACTCAGAAGTAAGAGTGCTACCACTGATCCAGGCTGCCACCTTTTATTGATTTCAAAAGGTCTCCGGGAATGTGGTTCTGCGGGTGATCACAGTCATTAGACTCTTTAGAAACAGGAATATTAAAGGGTGCAGGGGGGGGTGGTGGGGGGCGGGGGGGGGGGGGGGGGTGGAGGAGAGAGAGGGCAGAGGTTGGGAGGTTTACGTAGTGAAAAAACACCAATGCAGAATTCAGGGGCTAACATTTCTGTGTAATGTTCTGTGATTCTGTGATAGTTCCACATCACAAGTGTGTGTGTGTGTGAATGTGTGGCTGACAACTTAAACATTGAAATTTTGTGCTCAGTGGGGAGGGGACATTTGGCCGTTTGTATCTCTGTTGTTGCTACTTGTAACTTATTCCTAGCTGACAGACATTGACCCTTCTCTTTCTCTTCTTCCCATCCATTCATTCTACCACTTTCCCAGCTTCCTCCCATCTCCGCAATGGGCTATTTCCATCTTTCTCATACATAAGAATGACGGAAAGTACAGTAAAAGGAGGAGGCCATTCATCCCATCAATCCTGTTTGTGGTGCCAACTCCTCCCCTGGAGTTAACTGCTCTCATCCCAAATCACTGCTCATTTCCCCCTCAACACTTTGTTATATCACAATTCTCATCCTTGACTCTTCTCAACCTGCGCCTAATACTCTCCAGAATTAGATAAGCAGGATACATCCCTCCAGGGAGAGTGTGCGCATTCCATTCCAAAAAACATCTCCGGAATTTCCATGTGTAGGTGGGATGCATGGAATTCTCAGTTTAGTTTGGATACTCTTAAGTATGGTGATGGGTTTCTGCACGTGGCAGACACCCAGCTGACCAAAACAAATCACATTTCTCTTCAAATACTTATCCAATTCCCTCTCTTCCCTCTCAACCTAACCATTCCTCTGACAGGAACAAGAATATGGGTGGAACCCAGTAAATAAGACAGGAACATTGACTTCAGATTGATTCAGGAGATCTTACTTTGTGCCTCTTTAGGTTTAGATCTTTTTACTCAATATTTTAACGATATCCCACGCAGAGGAGCTAACGATTCGGTTGAAAAATACGAATGTAAAGCCCATTTGATCTCATGATTTCAGATAACCCACCTCCCGTTCCTCCCAACAACAACGAATTACATTTGTAGATAGAATCTTTCACATCGGGAAGACTTCCCAAAGCTATTGATAGTCAAGGATTTGCACCCGAGCTGGGGCTTCGGATCAGGAGTGGTGGAGGGCAGGGAGGATAGGGGTAAGAGGATGACTGAAGGCGTGGATGAAGATGAGTGTCTTGAGATGGGCCTTGAAGGAGGCAAGGACAGGGCTAGGTGAAGGGACTGTGGGATGGAGCTCCAAAGGATGGGGGCAGAAAGTTTGTAGGCCCCTCTGCCAATGGTGGGGCGGGCAGGGTGGGGTTATGTGGAGCAGGCCAGAGTCTGTCATCACAGCATCAAGCTGTTTCTTAAACAAGTTCAATATCCTGACCTCAGCCACCTTTCCTGGTAACCCATTCCAAGACATTGATTAGCTTCTGTACAAATAAATACTTTCTGGTGTTTGCCCTTCATAACCTTGACCAACTGCTTTAGCAGTTCACCTACAAAATAGTTACTACAGGTCAGTAAAAATTCTGTCATGTCCTTTGAGACATTTTGACAAATTGTGATAATGTTCCATATCAAATGTGAGGATTATTATTCAAATGCCTGAAAGTAGTAGTTCACGCTCTCTCTTTCTCTTCTCTCTTTCTCATGTTCTCTCTCTCTCTCTCTGTGCTGGGTCTTTGGGAGGTTCAGTGTATCAAAATGACTGTCTTTCACCTTTGGAAACCTGAGCCAAAAAATCCCCCAATGTAAAACCGCAGGGTCCATATTGCCCTTCGAGGCCCTAATAATAATAATCCTTGCATTTGATATAGTGCCTTATCACGTTGTTGAGATGTGTCAAAGCACTTCATAGCACTGTTGAGCGGATTGACTGTATTTTGTGGGCTAAACCTGGCAGCCATTTGTGCACAGAAATGTCCCCCAAATAGTCTTGGAGTTAGTGACCAATTTTATTTGGGAGATTGTTTGCCAGGGCACCGGGTGAAACTACTTCTCCTTTCGAGCAGTGCCATGGGACCGTTAACATCCACCAGAACAGGCAGATGAGACCTCAGTTTAACGTCTCATCCAAAAGACGGCACCTCCAACAATGCAACCTCCACCCCCCATCACTGCATTAGAGTGTCAGCTTGGATTATGCAAATTCAAATCCAGCCGTGAGATTTGAACCCACAACTTTCTGTCTCAGAGGCGAGAGTGCTACTGTTGCGCCAGGCTGACACACACTGACACATGCTAGATAATGCTAGAGGACAAGTTTGCAGGGCTATGGGGAGAGAGCGGGGGAATGGGATTGATTTGGATAGGTCTTTTCAAAGAGGCAGCACCGACACAATGGACCGAATGGGCCTCCTTCTGTGCCGTATAATTCTGTCAATCTATGATTCTATGATGCCCTGTGAGACCACAATGTCTTTACGACCATATTGTCCTGCAATTTACGATTACGCAGAATTGTGCAAAAATCCGCTTTCCTTTTAAGAATGCCAGAAAAACGGCTTCCAGATTAAGGCTGCATTTAAGAGTTTTGTTTACAGTTCGGCACCATCTTACATTTAAAGGCAAAATGGTCTCAAAGGCTAAGACTAGGGGGAATTTCAGTCTCTGGGTTCACAGGTGCCCTCCAGCCAGGGAGAGGGGCAGTCTTCTGTGAGACAAAGACAGATTGTTTGACAATGCGAAATCCGATATCTGGCCAGCTGAGCAAATTCCCAATTCACAACTGATAAAAAAAGATACTCGTATAAAGATCACAGAGAGGGAGAGAAAAAAATAATCCTTACATTTCATACAGCACCCGTTAAACCTCAAAATTACACCTCGTTACAGCTAGCTGGCAAAACCATTTATGAAATTTATTAAATGTAAGATTTGGGGAATCGTGGAAATGCCTTCAACACTGACGGAATACACTTCTTTCTAAAGAAAGCAGCTCTCAAATTGAATGGAAGAATTTTCCACAGCTGAACGTCATATTAAAATCAAAGCTAAGGTGTTTCTACCGGCTAAGACGAGGTGGAATTTTAGGTCCACAATGTCAAAATACCTGGAAGTGTACAGATAAGTTGGTCATTCACTTCATGGCTGTTTGTGGGCCTTTGCTTTGGAAAAAATTGGCTGCCGCGTTTGCCTACAAGTAATCAGTCACCACACTTAGCAGCAATTCTTTGTGAAGAAAGGTTTCGAAGCTGTAGGCGCTGTCTAAAATACAAGAATTATTTATTGAGCAGCAGGGATTTTGTTGGGTTAACCAGGTGTCTGAAACAATTAGAAACCCATCACCATTCTCAAGAGTATCCAAACCAGACTGAGAGTTCCACGTATCCCATCTACACATGGAAATTCCTGTGCAGAGAGCCCTCTGTTCGAAACATTAAATTATAACAGCACCATCTTAATACCAAGAGCCACATATTCTCAATGATCTCTCAAGATGTGTTCAGATCATGTGCTACAGATCTCTTTCTACTTGATCTCTTTCTCTGAAGGTATGTTGGGGTTTGGTTCTTAGAGGTGCCTCACCTAAGAAGTGAGTGTCTACAGGGGCAGCACCAAATCTTGAATCTGTTCACAAGAAGCCCGAAATTCTAACAGGTTTTAGCCTCAGTAATAATCCAATATCTTGTGTTCGATATACTGCTCTATTATATCAAAGCATCTCATGCAGTTACTGTAAAATCAATTAATAATAATCCTCATACATAAGCTCAAGCACTCCCCAATGCTACCACGCATGAAGGGAGCTATATAAATGCAAGTTGTTGTTCTTATTGTAAAGGGTAGTGATTGTGTATTTTGTAGATGGACGCAGCAGCTAATTTGCAGTCAGCAATGTCCC